ATACTTTGCCCACAGTTTTCCACAGCTTTGTTTTGTACTTTGTCTGGACTTTCACCCTGTTTGTACAATAAACCATGTTCCCCTCATCTCCGCACCTGAGTCCTCCCGTCAACACCCACCTCCCTGACAGTATGAGTATTGGATGGATGATTTAATATTTTTTATTCTAATTCAGTTCACTATGGTTGTGCATCATCACTGATATAGCCCACTGTTAAAAATGCGTATATACTATAGCTGCTGAAGCATGGTGATAAAATCCCACAGTAGTGGAAATGACTGTGCCCCATTATATAACCTTTATTAGAAAAGCAATTATCAACCCTCTTCTAAATACTTTTCCTTCGCAAGTGATATCTAAATACTAAACCTACTAACTTAGAAGAGACCTAACAATGAATATACAAACCACATGACTTTCCAGACAAATCTAATACCAGTTGGAACACCTATTCTATAAATTGCTGATTAAGTTTATTTTTTGTCACCTGGCTCTTGGATGGAAGCAAAATAGCTGACTGAGGAACACAATTAACATAAAACAGTTTGTCATTTTTTGAAAGTCAGGCAGGTTCATATGTGTATATAGATACAAATGTGTACTAAAAAACAGTTACATTTCATTGCAGAGAAGAAAGCAAACTGCACAGATCCTTCAACCTTTTTACCTGAGACTTCTTTAACTACAGAACTCACTTCCAGCAGAATTAAACACAATCAGGCGAGTGTTTGTGGGATGTGACCCAGATTCTAACTTTCTGTTCTTGACTATATATGCTGCACCAAGGCATCAGCTCCCATTTCAGTCCACTCTTGTGCACTGCTCCAACAAAAGGAGCTGTGTTTCCTGAGTGAACTCGGTGGCGGTGAGTGTAAGTAGTAATTAACATCTGGGAGGATCTAGATTACACGCAGTGATATTGCTTTCAAGACAGCAGAGTTGGAACAGTAATGGATACTTCTCTCATCTCCTCATTTTCCTTGTCAGTAAAAAAGCTAAACTCATCATTTGAATGTCTCTCGACTTAGTAATAACAATGGTGCCATCTACAGGCGAGCATCGAGACAGTCCAACTGCTGGTTTGACACTGTAGTGTCTCCATTTAAAGGGTTTTGCGTGTGAAAGGTTTGCTGAAGTTCTGAGAAAGTAAAGAAGATGTGCATTGCCAATTATATCCTGTGCATGAGATCACAATACCATAACTTACTTAGATTGCCTTATAGCTATTCACTGAATCTGACATCATGAGAAAGTTATTCCTCACTGTTTCACTGCACTGTGATACTTTTCAAACCTTAAAAGGAGTATAAAACTGATGGAAAGACAAATGTTTCCACAGTTCTACTTCACTGCTCCTGGCTGAAGTAAGCTGAGTCATACAGACTTTAAATAGAAAAGCAGAAACCCCAATATATTAATTTGCTCACTTACTTTCCTGTTACTTTTTTAAACTCCTATGAAAGGGTTACAGTCATGGAGAGTGCGAGAGCACAGAGAGAGGGCTTTAGAGCTGTACAGCCGGCACTGCCCTGTGCCGGCCCTGTAAAAGCTGTCCTCTGAGGACTGATCTTTTCTAACATTGACTGCGTTTGAGAGGAATCAAGCTACCTCTTGTTGTATCCCCCACTATCTCCCAGATCATTGAGACTGCATTGTAGTGGATAAAAGTGGGGAAAGAAAGATAATAATACGCACAGGTGTTATTGTTGCCTCTTGTTTGGTTTTCCTTTGCATAAGACACACAAGACATAAAAAGGGATTTATTGTGTCAGTAAATATTACACATGGGATGCTCATAGCCACATAGGAAATCAGGCCAAAGAGCATACTTTCGGATAAAAGGTGCTTTTCTCAAACACTTTGCTGCTTCTCTGTCACACTTGCACAGAAACTTCTCACATTTGTCCTCCAAGTCATCTGCAATGAAGAAAAGTGGTATTTTCTCAATAATAAGAAGAAATGAAAACTTTAAATGGATTTTTTAGAGAATCATGGGTCGGAAGACTTTAGGGTAATTATCCATTTGCGCTCCTAAATGATTCTTTCCCAAGAAATTAAATGGGTGGCCATAAACCGCATAATTTCTGTAACTGTTAATATTCTGTAAATTTAGTTGAATTATACAAAAATAAATGTTCTTCTCTTTCTTCAAATAGTTTAATATGAATTTCTATAACTCATGCAAACTAATATTATCAACGACAGAGCAGCAGCTGTCTAACTTTTAAAACAAAAAGCAAGATAATTCAAATGAGTTACCACACTCAGCTTTCCCGTCCTCACACGTCCACTGATACTGGTCTGTTTTAGTTTGGCAGCCAAGAAGCTCTGCATCTCCATAGCAACAGTCGTGCCTGTGGCAACACCTACGGCACAGAAAGATGAACAACTCAAAAAATATGTTATTTTGATTGTTTTGCTATGTCTATAGTGGGCAGGGTCGAGACAGGAGGAGGTGGGTGGGCTTTGGACACCACAGCTATGTTAAGAGCAGGGCAGGATCACCACATGGGTTTCCACAATAGTTAGTTTGCACTCAGCTGGTTTTAAGGGGGTGACATGTCCTGTGGTGAAAAGGGAAAAGAAGGAGACGGTAATTAGGATTTGGGTGTGGAATTCTTGGACTTTTTTCAAAGTGCCTGATGGACCACGTGTCTGGACATCCTTGCCTCCTTCCGTCCCATCGCACAGCATTTGTGGTTCAATCGACTCAGAAATGGAAACTGTGCATACACATCTGGATGACGGATGGCTGAGAATAGCCTCGAGAGACCATGAAGAGGAAATAATGTGTACGCACCATCCCTAGACTGGGAGGTGAAACTAACCAAAGCCTTCCGATGATATCCTTTGCTAAACTTAATGCGTGGTTGGCATGCATATATAATCTGTTGATTGCCCGCAATTTGGAGGACACTGTCATCAGGTGTAAGGGTGTGCTATTATGTGAATAAAAGTAAAAAGGAACAACAAAATAGGTTTATCATTTATGTTCTTATGTCAAAAGTGTGATTACAGGTGCAGCCTCACCAGTCTGCCTTGTCTCTGGGCCAACCTTGACCCCCCAGCCCACAGTAGCATCCGTACATCATGTAAGCCAAAGCAGATCTCCCTGTGCTGCATTTGATGGCTCCTGCCAGCTCAAGTAACCCTCTTTTAGTCCGATGGGAACTGCGCTCCGCCACAGAGGCCACAACCACTGCAATTGGAAATACACAACAGAGGAGAGGGAACAAACTTATCGTCTCCTTCAAGGAAAAGGTTGCATGGGTTAATGCACAGCAGACAAACACAAAGAAAAACACAGCAGAGAACTTCAAAAACCAAACAAGAAAGTCCCAAAAAAGTGGTTTTGAATTCCAGTGTTCGTCTAATTTTGCCATCGCCCTGCATATCAAGCAATATTCTAATTCATATTAAAATATAAGGAACAGCTTTGTTGCCATATTTAAACCCACAGACTCTTGTTTTTTCTGACAAATGCTCAGATGATTTCATTTTTATGTCTAATAAACATTACAAAGAAATGCTCCCGCTAAACATTGTGTCATAACTAAAAATAAAAGATGAAATAACAAGGAATTAAACACAAAAATTGCCTGTGCCTGCCCCCATTAAAAACTTTTACTAAAAGATTGCCTCTGCAAACAGGCTTCAAGGCTCCTACAGTCCCAGCACTGACCCTCTCTGTGTCGTCTAATACCTTCTTGGGTCAGCATTTGGTGTTGCCGGAGATCCACTTCAAAGTAAATGATGAACTCACCAGATAACAGGAGAAGTATCCAGTAAAAAGTCATGGTTTGCAACAGGCAGCTCAACTTTCCACAGCAAGTCCTCCTCATCCACCTCTGTCTGAGAGCGGCAAGAGGAGGACGGCTTTATTTAGAGGCTGCCTGAGTAATCTCGTGAGCAACACCATTGGCCACAGCTTAATCCAGTGTTTGCGAAACTGGAAACAGCCCATTGCCCAAGGGTTGCCAAACAGTACTCGTGTGTTAATTTAGGCAAAGCTGCGGGATCCCCATTTCATCTCGAAGATGTCTAAAACGATACTTTATAAAACAAATGTAGATCAAGAATAGTCAAAACCTTCATTTATCCAAATCTCTTGTTTTTCCCTTTAAGACAAACAAGTCACAGTGGTGAACAGAGCAGGCCTTCCTTCCACATAGCAAAGTCTCAGAAGCACATATTGAAGCCATCAGAGTTGTCAGAATGAAATAGGGAGCAACACAGTGCGTGTCCAATGGTTCGGGGGTTAAATTTGAGACTTGATGCTGACATGGTATGAAATGTGTTGTGTCCTTTAATCACTTTCATTGAGGTTTCTGAAAATATATATATTTTTCTTGAACCAGCAGTCACTTCTTTTGAGGTAATGTGCAGCCTAAAACCCTATTTAGGCTTCCATCAGTTGGAATATGGCTGATTTTTTGTTTTAAAAAAAAATCATGCATCTATGAAATGTGAGATAAGCACATCATCCTGGATGTTGTTGCTCAAAAGTCACAAACTTTACAGCATATCTGATCTTTGTCCTCTGAATCATCTAAGAGGAAAAACACCTAAATAACATTGATATTATACCAGATCAAACATACTGAGATAAATATCCAAACATTCATGTGTGATTTCCTGAGGTAAACCAAAGTTTACCTCAAAAGAAACAAGACACCATTGTGTACTTTCACAAAACATGCTGTGTCTTTTGGATTTGATTTGACATTTATACATTGCTTTGAAAAGAGTTATGCTTTAAGGAAGTAATTTGCTGTGGTACCAGCAGATAATTACAATAATCTAACTGTTGCAATGACTGAAGTGTTTGTTATCAGCAGAGATGGCAGTCTGTAGCTGAACTTCCTGTATAGAATAATTTCAAGTGAATATTTGTGAGAAGAGGATGTCAGGAAATTCCAAAAAACTAGAATAAGAATGCTGGGCAGTAAATATTCTGGCAAAAACATGTTGCTCTCCAGCATGCTGATATAGCAGCACTTTTATAACCTTCTGTACAAATTACAAACAGAATTACATCACAGTGAGGTGAATTTCTTTTAAGGACCCAATTTGAGGAGGGTTTGTTACTTATTGTTGTCATATATCCAGAAAAGCATTAAAAATCTGATTCGATTAACTTGGTTTGAATTATCAACAGAAATAAACTTGATTTATAAAAATTAGCTCTTGTCATTTAAGCAGTGGGCACCACATTGGATTCCTGGAGAAATCATTTGATAGATTGGAGAATTCTGTTTGCTTGTTTTATTTTATAACTACTGTAGTTTGGTCTAAAACCGGATATCTGAATGAAAACTTGCACATATTTGAATAAAATCCTATTGAAGACTGGTGGATTTGGGAGAACATTTCGTTATTTCATGATTACATATCTAATATAGATATGGGCTCTCATACTGAAACAATTATCTGTTACTTCAATGAAAAAGCACAAACAACAATGCAGATGTTTTGACCACTAGTGAATTGAAATTAAATCAGATCAAACTGCCGCAATGTACAGCAAAATCATGGGATTAATATTAAATGTATTAATTGTGCTTCATATAAAAATGCAATATGTAATATTCAGATCATGTACATTTTTATATTTGTAGATGTTTCCCCTTTTGCCTCGAGCGCCTCTAGAGGACAGCATACCAAGCGTACCAAAGACTACAGTTATTCACGCCGTAGAAGAAGAAGAACAAGCTAAGGGCGGCCTTCAACGACAGCACAAGCTAAATTCTTTTAGCCAAAGCGAAAAATCCATTAATTCCATTATCAACCGACTAAAGGGTTATCTGGAATAAAGACCCATTCATGTAAGTGTCTTCATAAATAACTGTTCTTTCCTTTCTCTTTTATTTTGTCAGTCTCAGCCAGGAGCTAAATATCTACAGTCGCTATTGTTTGCGTTGAGGAACTAGTTTAACTTGGACATGCCTATGCTTTGTTAGGTCCTGTCTACTTCCGAGAAACTTAGGCGATAACATCTTGTGGCCAGTTTGGCCAGTGTGTCCAAAGCACCTGGACAAGAGCCGTTTAGCTCAGGAATAATATTTTGTTGTTGTTCCTAGTGTGTATTCACTAACAATTGCTATCAGACCAAAAATGATGGCTAACAAGAAATTAGAGTCAATTTATAACACACGTGCGCTAAAACCCGTGCATCCGTTATCGGACAGTTAACAAAACTTGGGTTGCATTGTGGATTTTCTCCTCTTGCTGTCTGATACATCTGTGTAGAAATGACAGTTTACCCACAAAAATCTTCTTACTTTCAAATGTCACCACAGAAAATGTTTTTGGACGAATAGGATGAGGCCAACCACTTAAAGCTAACACCACCGCCTTTTTAGACATTATGAACCATATCCTTCTTTACCAAGATGCCAGATTTGAAAAATTGTTAGCAGAACATCATTTCTCAGAGGTTAGCAAAGGGAACATGCAGCTGACAGTTTGATTGGACGGGTTTGGTCAGTGTGTCTGTAATAATCGTCTTTACACACAATAAATACCTGCCCATGCGTTAGACGTACCAGAATAATGTATGACCGCCTATCCAGAATGGTATGAGTTTATTGATATGCGATAATGAAAGCAGATTCAAAGCTAAAACTACAGAGCTGTCTGATAATTTTCCTTTTATTTGTAGTGGATCATTTCAAAATCCCATCGGTCTTTTAGTCAACGACCAACCTTTTTGTTAACTTTCATATCTTTAACAACGCTATGAGAAAACACTTCACCTTAATTTCCGGAACTACATTTGTGTCGTCATTTCTAAACGCGGAAGAATGACACTAGGATAAACTTCTAAGAATAAAAACCAGTCACTATTTACACTCCATGAAGGAACTTTCACATATCCTGTGTGCTAATGGTGTTAAATGGTAAGATTGCGGTATGATGGGCTTTTTTTTCAATGTTTTGTTTTTCAATGTTTTGTTTTTCTTACTGGTGGTAAATGTAACCCTGTATAACCTCAGGTGCTGTCTAAAGAGAGGATATTAATTCACGCGAACATGTCCAGAGGCTGTCAGGACAGAAGGAGTCGCTGGCAGGACATTCAGAAAGGCTTGCAATTCATTCAGTAAGTTTGCTTAAAGTTTGGGCTTAAGTACAGTGACCATTTGATCCATGTTTGTTTAGTCATGGTTGCCATATAGTTTCAATTTTAAGTCAGTCAACAGATGAAAAGTTGATGGCTATTTTGAATCCTGTTGTTTGATGCTCTTCACTGTCAGCTTTTGAATTAGATACTGAATTTGCTATTCAAACTAAATGAGTTGGCCACTTAATCAATGCACCAAAGAAGTAAACATCCTGCTTAGCTCTTAAAATACCCCCTCGTGACAACATTTCAGGTAGTTTTATTGACTTTATACTGTCAAACAATATATGTTGATGTTTGGAAAGGGATTGAAGTGTGGAGACCGCTTTTTTATGAGAGTGGTTCGTAAAAATCTTAAAAACACACGTCAGCAGTGCAAAGCTACAGATTATCTGTTTCCAGTTGATAACTGGCTTTACTTGACTTGCATTTGTAATTAGGAACACATCATAATGGTGTATATCTTCTCACCTCACATAACCTTTTATTCATGAAACAAAAGTGATACTTAAATCACTCAAGTGCACATCATTGCTGTGTCATGAGTTGTCAGATAATTCAAAGTCAAAGATCCCAAAAGTCAGCTGTTTTAAGGTACCGAAGTTTGTTACTTAAAAATCGGATATATTACAGTCAAAACAAAAATATTAGCATCAAGACTTGAAGAAATTGTATCTTGACACAATTTTTCTGTTGACTGATGAGCTGTAAATGAGTTCATCTATGGTTGAGCAGGAAGTGCACAAGAGGAAAAACTGGACCGAAGAAAAGAAACTAAAAGAAAATTCCCATCATGACGCTTAATGCCGCAATCTTTTTATAGGTCTATGCATAGCTCATTTGTATTGTTTGGTGATGCGTCAGAACGATTTCCTGTTGAATGGAGGTAGCTGTCCTTTGTCAACACACAAATTTAAATATTTCAATGTGTGTTAACGTCATAACATCTATAATAGAATCACAGTGCATTGATATGGGATTCATTATTATTTACTTTTATACGGTGGGCATTAAAGAATTAAAGAATTGTGTGGGTTTTGGGAATTTATACAATGCTTTTCATTCAAATTTATTATAACATAACATCAAAGTGAATACCATAGACATACATAAAAAACCTATACACCTTCCTAATGCTGTGTTTCTATTTATGGGAAATTACAATTTTCACTCATCACTAATTAATGCATTATGTGATTTATGTGCATCTCCATTGTGAGATCAATAAAACATTCATTAATTAATTTTATAAAATCATTGACTATGTATGAAGTATCTTTAGTTTCCGGATGAAAGAATATGACAGAATGACTCGGTCAATGGAACTCTTTGTGCTTGGTAAACGTTAATGATCTTTAATGCTTGTCAACCTGATTCTGTTTGTCCTCTATCATTGGAATATATCATTTTTAAACATCTGCGAAGGTTTGTAACCTAAATTTGTTTGTTTCAGATCTACTCTTCCATTTCCAGGAAGTCAAGAGCAGTATGAGGTAAGCTCTGTTCATTTGAATAGAGGTGAACCATCATTCATCTTCCTGTTTGTTCAGCTGATTGAAGGACTTGGGTAGAGTAAAATTAAAGGTGGCGGGTGTCTGAATTTCACACAAAATGTTACTATAGGACCATGTTTTAATTTCTAACCATTTCTAAGTGGTTGTTTCTCTAAACTTTCAGGTTTTCATTAAGGACCTAGTATGGAATCTTTTTGGAGAAGGAAATGACGTGTTCAAAGAAGGGGAATGGACTAAATCTATTGAGATGTACACAGAAGCACTAAGTATAGCGGATTATGCCGACTCGGAGGAAATATGTGTTCCAACTGGTTTGCTGGAAAAGCTGTATGCAAATCGGGCTGCAGCATACCTTAATATTGTTCCAGTAAGTAAGTGTTGTCCATCAGATTGATTAACAGTCACTTGTTCTTCCTTCTCCTTAAAATGAACCGTTTACATTGGTGTTCGAATATTTTTTTTTAAATGAACGACTTAATTCTGTTTTTAGTGTAGCAACATTTGGTTTTATGTAGACTTTGATTAGCAGAACCGGTTCAGTGATAATGTACAAAAGTCCCTGAATTTCCTTAAGTTTGCCCTGCTGTTGGTTTCCCCCATTTGACAAAACATCAGAGGAACTTTGAAATGGCTGTGAGTTGTTCTGGAGAAGTAGAAACATGAGCTAGGCATTGGCTGAGAATAAAAGTGTTAATTTTAAGCCATATTTTGTTACCAATGGTTTGGTATTGCTCTTTTAATACATTTTTGGTCTGCCAGATTATATTTCTTTTCACTGAATATGAATCTTAAAGTTAGCACTTGTAAGTTACCACAAAGACCAGACAAATTGGGAAATAGTTTTTGTGTCAGAATGTGAAAACAAGCACCAATGAAAGTCACTAATTAATGTGGTTGTAATGTATTAAGATAACTGTTAATTTCTGCTTTTAATAAGTCATTAACTATTCCCCTGAAATACATGTCTTTAGAATAAACTATGCCTTCTGGGAATTAGTTGATAAAGTAAGTTCCAATGTTAAGGGAACATCTTCATGTTTGATTGGGAAAACTTTATTTGTCCGATGAAATTTCTCCTGTTTCAAGTCAGGCTGCACCAGGTTATTTTGCATGGCAGTAAAAACACCTTGTTGTTATCAGAGGGAGACATTCCTGTACCCAATTTGTAGAACTGAATGTGTAAAGTCGATTTGTGTTCAAAGGAAACCTAACCTGTTTTCACAGCAGCACTGAAGAAACACTAAAGAAGCTTCTTTAACATTCTGTCTTCTTTCATAAGGGACTGTATGACCAAGCATTAGAAGACTGTGAAAAGGCTCTCCAGTTAAACGAAGGGAACTACAAAGCACTGTACAGAAAAGCAAAAGCCCTGAAAGAGATGGGAAGACATCAAGAGGCCTATGAGGCTGTTGCCAAATGTTCTCTTGCAGTGCCTCAGGTAAGGACTGCTGGCCCAGCGACAGTTATGAAATGACTGTTTAAAACAATCCATATGTTTACAAGGCCTTTTCCAAGAGGACTTTCAGCCTCTAATGGGATTAAAAAATAACTCAGAAGAAGGTTGTAAAGCTGTTTGCTTAACAGCTAAGGCACTCTGCCTCACAACATCTTGCTCTCATCACAGCACGTCTCTTCCCTGCGGTGTAGTATAACATTTACATATGTGGGATTTAAATGTCTGCTGTATGTAAAGAAAGCTCAAAGCATCTAAAGACTGTTGAAAATGTAAAGTGACAGTAAGTCCTGACCTGTAAACGTTCCTTAAGTTTAATGTAGCTGGTTAAATGAATTCATCTACGAAAAACAAATCAGGAAAATGTTCTAATCCAAGCTTCTTTTTGTTTAAATTCTACCTCTGAGCAGACTTTGTTTAACTTGTCTGAGACATTTTCTTTGTCAGATAAGCTGCGGCTGAACATATAGTGTGACAGTATTATGGTCTTAAGTACCGTAATCAATATGGGATCTTTGCTCTTTGTTTGAAGCAGGCCGCAGTTGCACAAACAATCACACATAGACTTTTTTTTTCCTTTCTCATTTTAAATGTTGTGAGGAAAGTATAAACGTCAGTGAATGTATCGGATCACAGCGTTTATGAGCTGTGGTACTGCGAATTATCTGGTGTGTGTGTTAGGAGGGGAGCGTAACATCTGTTTGCCCTGCACAGCTCTTTGTCCTAGCAGATTTCAACATTACAAGAGGCTAAACACATGCAAGTGCGTTGCCAGATAAATATTCCACCAAGTATTGAAATGACGTGGGAAACGCTTATTCATGCTGAACACATTTTCTACTGTCTGAGCAGGGCAACATGTATGATGGATGGTTTAAAGCATTCTCTCTTTTGTGGTTTGTTTGACCAGGATTCCAACGTCACACAGCTGACTCAGGACCTTGCCAAAATTTTGGGGTTGAAAATCCGCAAAGCATATGTGAGAAATAAGGTATGTGTTGTTATGCTCATTGAGTAGCAGCTAAATGCTGCTTCAGTGTCAATGTTTGTTTTTAAACTAGTTTCCACGCATTACTGTTGGTGAAGTGAATAAATCACTTTCAGATCTTTTGGCTTTTTAAAGTTAGGGCAGCCATCAGTTGTTTTTCTCACAAACGGATGGCATAACTTTACAATGAGGAAACATTTATTTATTTTTTCCTTTTTAACAGCCTGCCTTGAATGTTTTGCGAGGATCAAGTTATCAAGATGTATCCGGTGACAAAGTAAGTAGTACAACATAACACACGGAACATATTCTGTCCCAGGAGTCGGTGATCAGTGGTGATTCTTTATTTCCAGTTTTCTCATGGCTCAGCCTCAGTGGAAGAAATAGAAATTGGTAGGTTTTGATCTCGAAGAAACTATTTATCAGCCTCTCCCGGGGAGGCAGAACAAAAGCCACTCATTGTGTCTTCCTGTGTTTCAGAAGTGCCTCAGCTGAACCAGGATAGTAGTGTTTTGCCTCCAGGCCCAACTCCAATCCAGCCTTCAGCGGCCGTGCACCCGTCTCTTAATGACTCTGTGGCAGATGAACTGTCTCATAGCAACAGTATCTTATCTGGCCCCCCCTCTGAGCCTCCAGGCTTTGAGTCCGTCCCCATGTCTGTGTCTGCCCCCACATCTGTACCACTTCCCGCGCTCACGTTTGTAAACGGATGCCGAACCAATAAGCCTGGCCCAGCCCTTGAACCAAGTCAGGATTTTGACGCAGATATCATTGGGGAGGACCTGGATGATTTACTGGACCAAGCAGGCCCTGAATCAGCCATGGTTAGTGAGCAGATGTTACTGCAGCCGCTCCCCCGGCGTAGGAAATGTGATAGTTGTGAGTTGACGTCTGACAAGAGTGTAATCTATCCTTCACTCTTCCACCAGGATATTCCCACCATGAAAGGGCCCCTTCCATTGCCAACCAGTATTGCCTCAGGCAGTTCAATGTCCAGTCCATTCCTGATGCCATCACACATAAACCCATTTCTACACAGCGGTTCCCAGCAGTGCACTGTAACTCTGCCGCCTCTATATCATAAATTGGGGTCTAGTACTTTATTTGGAATGGACACTTTTGACCCCCTGCCCCCACCGTTGGACTCTCTGGATAGTCTCACCATATCAGACTATAAAACGGGTAAGTTGCTTTGTCTTCCCCAGAATGCCACATATTTGAGCTTTTTTTCTTTGCATTCGAAGAAAAAAAAAAAAGCTCAAAATATAATATTCTTTTTGATGACTTACTTTTGTTTCTCCCCACTATAACCTCAGATTATGCCCAGAGTCCATTCATTCCACAGGTAAAAGCTCTTTTTCTATTGTCGAGGAATGTTGAGCGATTGACAGTGTCGTTTCAGTGTCTAACTGTGTGACATGTCTTCTGAAATACAGATCAACAATAATGAGGCCCCAATGGGGATGGCTGTGGGTATGCCCGATGTGAAAGGTTCCCCTGCTGTTGTGGATTTAGCGAAGAACCCTCTAGCTGAAACGCATGAATTCAAACAAGCCTGCTCAATGTGCTATGTCAGAACTGGTGAGGAATATGTATGGAAGTACACTCATTGTGTTGCTTACTCCTTTCCTTTCAGTGAGCTGGAACCGGTTGTCGTCCTCGGCGGTGCTTGGTGTAAAATGTTTATATTTTCCTGTCGACAGGCCCTGGAGTTTTGGATTACACTCTTCATACTGAAGAGCATAAATGCAAAAAGGATGTATTACTGGGCAGAATAAAGCATTCACCGGACAAAATGTGGAAGCTCATCCGACCGAGACCAACAAAAACTCAATATGTCGGACCCTATTATATTTGCAAAGGTGACGTCTGCACCCTAAGTGTGAACACTCTTTCCAAAGATAGAGCTTAATTTTTCTGTATGGATTATAAGTGCAATTAAAGACCAGAAATCAGGTGATTCCTTTCTTTTCATTTTTATTGTAGTTTATCAGTGGAATATTGAAGGTGGGGATGTATAGTATGACATTGTCCATCCGTATTGAACACGTGTTCTGCACTAGATGAGGTGTTAATGTTTTCGCTCCTGATGAGACTTGAGCACCAACATGCTAAATTGTTCCTTTACCCGTTTCAGAGGTGGCTGTTGGAAAAGAGTGCCTGTACCCTGGTCACTGCACGTTTGCATACTGCCAGGAAGAGATTGATGTTTGGACTCTGGAGCGGAAAGGGTTTATCTCTCGAGAATTGCTCTTCGATCCTTTTGGGTCACATTCTAACGTCCGGCTGAATGTCCCAAAGATCTTACAGGAGCATCGTGGAATATTCATGTTTCTCTGTGGGGTGAGCATTTTTGTCTCTTTGCCAAAGCTACTCTGCATTACAGTGTGACGGTTGGAAAAGGTCCTGACTCTAGGAATGCCTGAAAGGATCAGTTTTACCTTTTAACTGCACGACAAACTGGGAGACTGTGTCCCCTCTCATTTAATATTATTATATCTTTGAATTTATAATTGAAAAGGCAGATTGAGTCAGCAACTCGCTTCCACTGTCAACCTGACGTTAAGTTTGTACATTTCCATCTCACCTTTTCCTTTTATTTTTTTTATTGTCAGTGGCTAATTTCTACCTGTTTCTTTACAGGTGTGTTTTGACCACAAGCCTAGAATAATCAGCAAAACCAACAAAGATGACCCTTCACTTTGTTCTCACCCGGTAACAAAGCATGACTTTGAGGAACATAAGTGAGTCAGTCAGCATCTGCTTCTGCCTCTCTGGAACACTCGGCGCTTCTCAGGAATGCTCTCGCTCCTGATTTAGATTCAACCGTTTTTCTGTTTTGTTTTTGTCTCTCTGAGGTGCCTGGTCCACATTTTGAAGGAGAACACTGTCCGCTACTCAAAGGTCAGACCTCTGAGTCCCCAGAGCCAGCTGGATCTTTGTCGCCATGAAGTGCGTTACGGCTGCGTGAGGGAGGATGATTGTTTCTATGCCCACAGCCTCGTCGAGCTCAAAGTCTGGATGATGCAGCACGAACTGGGTAAGGCTGCTTTATGAGCGAGCCGGATTAAGCGTTTATCTGGATCTGTGGTGCTCTGTGCTGCCACAGGTGTTGGGTTTAGCCTCATGGCCTTTTTTCCCCATCATCTAGGTATCACTCATGAAAGTATTGTCCAAGAGGCGAAAAAGTATTGGAACGCAACAGCGTCTTTGCAAGGAGCGCAGGTAGGACCAGCAACGCCGCGCCAACACCATCGCAGCATGTTTCCTCTCACTGCTATTTCAGTGTTTGACTGGCCGATTGTGTAAATCCACCTGCTGTTCGGTGTTTGATGTGGATCAACCGAAATGTGAGCTCTCTGCTTGGCTGCACTGTCGGATCATAGCAGCCCGTGAAAATCTGCTCTCAAATTCTAACTCTTTCAAATTTGTGGGCAGCTTTCCAGCACCCAGAGGAGGTTTGGTCCTCCAAATCTGAAGATGATGTTTGTTTGTGGCCAGTGCTGGAGAAATGGCCAACTAAGTGAAGCTGACAAAAACAAGAAGTACTGCTCAGCCAAGGCAAGGCACACGTGAGTATTTCCATCCCTTTTTTGGAAGTGTGAAAAATACCTTTCAAATAATTTTTGAGCACTAAGTTAGTGTGTGGCTCTGTCTTAGGTGGGCAAAAGACAGACGGGTAGTGCTTGTAAGTTCCCATGAAAGGAAAAAGTGGACAACAGTAAGACCACTACCAACCAAAAAACCCATCCCATCTCAGTTTGAGGTACATTTGTCACCTAACATCCCAATAACACAAAGCCTTCTGTATCTGTAACCAATTGTTTTGTGCTCTGTTTTAGATTTGCATGCATGTGACGGCTGGTAAAAAGTGTCAGTACATTGGAAATTGCACATTTGCTCACAGTATAGAAGAAAGAGACCTTTGGACGTACATGAAGGAAAACAACAGTGAGTTATTGTTTTTTTTAAAGGCCACAGCCTTCAATTTGCATGTTTTCATTCTGAGAGTGGCATTAGTATATGATGCAGAGCACTCCTTTTATACCATCTAGTTCCAGATATGGATCAGCTTTACGAGCATTGGCTGCAGTCTCAGAAGCCTGGCTGGGGGGAGGAATCATTCAATAACTCTGTCAGAGAGAACGGCAAACAGATTCACATGCCAACAGACTATGCTGAGGAAGTGGTGAGTTCAGAAGCCGGCAGATATGCTCATCTATGCACAGATGAGCTTTGTTTAAGCTGGTGTGTGAGTTCAGTGCTGTATTCAAATAAAACCAGCCAACGGCCCCGTCCTTTCATGCCAGTTTGTTGTTTGTTTACAGTTTTTGGATCTTAAACGACTTTGATATTCGTTTGTGGACACCATCAGCTGTTGTATTTTAAAACTACCTATTCTGAGACTGGAAAATAAGTCTATTTTTGTTTCAGGCTGGCAATCATTGTTGGCTGTGTGGTAAAAACTGCAACAGCGAGAAGCAGTGGCAGCAGCACATCACTTCAGAAAAACACAAAGACAGAGTTTTCAACTCGGAGGATGATCAGAACTGCTGGCAGTACAGATTTCCCACAGGCACTTTCAAAGTTTGTGAGAGGTAGGACACCCGGACACTGCAAACTGTCCTGTTCAGGAGGTTTTGAGGCTTCATGTGTGATCTCATGCCTCCACAGATTCCTCAAAGGCACATGCACAGAGGATGACCTGTGTAAGCTCGCACACGGGGAGCAGGAGCTCAAGGAGTGGATGGAGCGCAGGGAATTCCTTTTGATGAAACTTGCCAAAGCCAGAAAAGATCATCTAATAGCACCAAATGACAATGACTTTGGAAAATACAGTTTTCTGCTTAAAGACATTAAATAACAATGTGCTGACGATATTCATGCTCTGTTGCAAATAATGCAGTATTCAGTCTGGAGTATGGTCGCTCCTGAGGACCTCCGCTGAGCACAGGACGTAGCCTGATCACAGCATGATTTAAGGGGAGGGCACACAGGACTGCCCCCCTGATTGGTGGCTGGTTGTCTGATCCAAACTACAGAGTGTTATCATTATTAGCAAATGTTCAGTGTGCAGCACTGGGAGCTTTGCTATGCATCGTTCAGTACAACACACAGAAATGGTTATGAAAAAGCATGTGCAAACCCTGATCAGAAACATGTTCAGAAACTTAAGAGCCAACCAGAAAAAAGTCATTTCTTTTCCCGAGCAGTTTGTATGCGTTAATGACCTTTTCTGTTTTAAGTATGAAGTTACTTAAAGGGAGTTTGGTTGACATCCTTTATGTTTTAAACGGTCACCGTAGGTCATTTTCACCTTTCCATTTATCTAAAAGTGTTGCCAGTGTAATGGGCACCTTACCAAATAAAACCTCTTTTTCTAAAAAAAAATGTTAAAAAAGGAGATTGAAACTGCTTTATTTTAGTGGATGTGTCCAGAATGAAACTTTAATGTACTGTTTGGTCTCATTTACACTGAACAATGTCAAAGATATGGTGATGCGTTTGGTTTAAAGACATTTTCAAAAAGATTTTAAACCTTTTTCTTCTGTGCATAACTTATAAATTTCACAATGTCAAACTGATGCTGTTTAGGCATCAAGTTAAGGTCTAAATATTACACACCGAGTCTTCCATTAGAAATCATCTCTTTTGTATCAGACCTTCTGAACATTGTGGAAGATCTTTGTTCTGTTGTTAGAAGCAGTCTTGTCATAAATGGCTGGAGCTTCACGTTAAAGCCAGCATGTGCTGCAGGTCCTCCACCTCCAGCTTCCACATTCGCCTGTGAAGTGCTGCCTGCGCTGAGAGGTTGGCCATCTTTACCGCACGGATGACCGGCTCCGGGGAAAGGTCCTGGATGATTCCCATCACCATGACGTACTTGCCTGCAAACACAGCGGTGACGGTGATCAATTTGTAAATTATATGTGATTCAAAACAAGGGTTGGAGAGGTGTGGGAAACAGTCACCTTTCAAATGAGGAATGCAGATGGAAATTCCAGTGTCTTAACTGTCAAATTGACTAGGATCCCAATTTTAAGTTAATAAATTGAATGAAACAGTTTATGGGGGCATGTTATTGTCAAAAATAGCTCTACATTTTTTAATCCTTTGTCCTTTTGTAGATTGAATTTAAACATTAAAAGAATCAGTTGGCTGATGACTTAAAGAAAGTTCTTTGAACTCTGAAACAATTATATCTATTTCTAATTAACTGCAAGACATTAAATTATTAAAAGAAGCTCGTTTTTGGGGGTTTCCATTGCAAACTACAACAAACTAAACAGTAACTACATAATCAGAGATATGAGTCAAAACGAAATTCTGGACTAAAGATATGTGAGGATCCGAAGCTTTGCGAGTTGTTTTATAGGAAGACAAAACAACTCTCTCAGACCTGAACATCTGGATGTTTTACCTTGGGCCAAACACGGTTTTCCTCTGGGGATACCGTTAACGCCCTGAACAGTAAACGTCCCCGTCTCATCCATCAGCAGCACGCTGTTTCTCTCCTGCTGGACATCCAGCACAGTCCCCTGCATCCACACCAGCGAAACCCGCAGGGAGCGGCCCGGCCCGGCTCTGATCACACACCCCTCCCCGTCAATGGCGGCGCCCCGGGCCCCTGCCGCTCTCAGCTGGCCGGACAACACTTTGACGGGCGGTGCACGTTTCCGGCCAGTGTCCGCTTTTTCCACTTCCCACATAACCGACAGGACGCAGCGGACTTCACGCGGTGGTGCGCAGCTGTCGATGAGCTCAGTTCATTTCGCCCCGCCAGAAGACTCGAACGGAAGTTAATAAGGTGGCTTCCGGGAGACGCAACTTCCGGTTTCCAACTTTTTAAAATACAAGCCTTATCAAACTGTTGGCTGCGGGGTCTGTTAGTGGCACCGGACATGCAATTTCATTTTATCAGAAGAACAAAAAACAATTTACCTACCCAACTTGCCTTGTTGTTATACATTTACTCTTATACATTTACTATTGAAAACTGCCCTATTGGACTATTCTCTAGCTTTATTTTCATACTATATTTGTATTGTATTTTCCTCAATATCATCAACTCCAAAATGAAACAAAAGGCATCATTTAAGTCTTTATGTCAGTTTATTTGGCAGAAGGTAAAGTTTTTATCAGAAACTGGGAGAGATCGTTGCCTTGTCCAGATACCCTCTGCTTTGATGAGATTAAAGGGTATGGGTCATCTTATTCTTCAGATAAGGAGTTTGCATGACTCGATGAAAAGTTCTATCTCCATCAGAAATGGGGTAAGCTGCCTGCAGAATGAGAAGCGGGGCCAAATGGTGTTCTAAAGGGAAGAATTGGAAGTGGCTACTAATTCTTGTATTGTTTTAGCTAGAGTAACAGCAGGAAAGGACATCCTCCTTACATAATAGGGGAAAGCAGTTAAAACAGAATGAGAATAATGAACATCCACTTACTTAAGAGATGAATTGGCAAAATATGAATAGATGCTATTCAAATTAAAAGCTAGTTTTAAAGCATATAACAAACATCCCATGTACTGCAGTTTTTGCCTGAAATTCTGGTAAATTAAGTTATAACAAGCATTTCTAGAACTCAGCTTGGCAACCAGCAGACTAATATATTAGTTGGGAATAATCGTTTAATGAGGTTTGGGAATTTAACTTAATTTCCTCCTTTCGCTGTGTGACATTTTGCTGAAGCTTGATTGAATCAAGCTTCCCCCTCTTTTCTCGACCCGAGGAAAACCCTCACATAAAAACAGGGCTAATGTGCAGGAGTCGCAAAAGGAAGATGTCATTTGTGGGGTCCATTTCTCTTTTTTTAGTCAAATAGGGATGAAAGCCTAAAAAAACAAAGTTTGATCAAAGTAAAGTGTGAGATCTGAATCAAATCTACATTGTGTATAAAAAAAATTCCTATTTGCTATATTTTCTGTGAAATAATAAAAAAGGACTGATAGGATAAAGAACAATGGCCCTTTTTAAATTTCATTAAATAATTTTATTTCTTTAAGAATAACTGAAGAAAATTGTTAGCAATTTCTGTACATTTTTAAATTGTCTTCCCTTGGATTTTGTGAAAACCTCGAATGATCAACCGGGCTGAGATATGTTATGCGGCCACATAGTGCACTTGAAACCTAAAAGCAGTATGATTATTAGTCCACAGGTATCCGTCAGTTTCCTTCAAATATAATCCAAGAGTTTCTTTTAAGTCTCATTGTTTCGTTGGCTCCTTCTCTCAATCCCAGTTCATCATTGTCAAAAAAAGAGGCACATTAAAAATACTGCCATTTTCCAAGGACTGTATCTTTGATTGCATCGACAAACTGTGCAGGCACCCAGTAGACCCAATACTGAGAAGCTTCCGTTGGACCCAACTGAAAAGCCTAAAAAACAGGAAAACAAGAGGTGAGTGTTTTTTTTATATGTTTATACGATAGAGTTTGCATCTTAGCAGTGTAGAAGTTTTCATTCACACTATATGGATCTAGGGACATCAGCTGAGGTACTACATAAGGCCATAACCACAAGTACTTACAACACACATAAAAGTTTTAGGCCTTTAGGAAAACGTGCAGGAAGGTGAATAATTTCAGGAATTCGAGGTTCAGGGATGCAGAAAGGGCAAACCTGAGACTTTGGCAAACCACATAACACAACCCTACGTTTGCTGCCTGATTCAATTTGATCACTTATGTCCTTCCCTGATGTGTTACACCAAGTCTCATGTCTATCGCAGCTAAACAACTGACCCCCTGCTTCCCATTTACGAAGGCAGCACAGTGTTTGTGGTCATGTGATATGGATTTCCAATGCCAATATTACATTTAATTTTCAGTGGCACCAGAGCACTCATGAAGACCATGACTGCTTTAATTTGATGCCTAATTAGTGGGGATGCTTTGTTTTTTGGACCAAAGATTTAAAAAAAGGTCAGCTTAAATAAAATATGATGTTAAATGTTCCATTTGCTGCATAGCAGGACATAAAAGGATTTTTTTTGCTGACTATCACAGCCCACTGATTAGCAGGTTTTCTTGAATGTTTAATCTATCACACAACTGGCCAAAAAACACCAAATCTTTTTCCAACTCTTAAGAAAACATAAGAAATGTAAACATAAATGACTAATTTCTTAACTGGCCTCATTTCATCTACAAGCCTTTGTAGGTTTCCCATGCATTTGACATTTCCTAAAATTTCATGGTTTCTCTGTTAATCATTCAGGTGTTATTGAACTGTTTTAAATTGAGGTTGTTAAATCTAATGGGTATGAATCATTGTGTCTTAATCTCAAATAAAAGTAATAAAAATAAATACTGTAGATAGTTGGAAGCTACCACAGAGATGTTTGACATTCACTATCCAAAAAAAGGGGAAATCACTCTATGGCAGCATATTGGAAACAACCACCTGTCCATTCTTTACAAAGCTGTTCACTTACATTAAATACTGTGTTAAATAAAACATTGATCTGTTTCTTTTTGAAACAGAGAGAACCTTTCCTTCCACACTTCTCTGACCTCAGATAATATTTGTTAAAAAACAGATAAATGTGACGAATGCAGAAGCAGCATTTACCATCATGTGATAGTCCTCATGGTCTTCGATAGGTTCAGACAATACGTTCTTAATCGAGCCCATTGGAACTTTCTCCGTTCTCTCTGCAGATGAAAAAAACAAAGCATGAAGACATGCTAATCACAGTCATCTCTATGCTTCAAAGTTGCAACTCACCTTTTGTTCCGATCCACAACTGATCTTGCTCCAGTTTGAATGTGAGTCTAACTTTTCCTCCAGACTTATTAAACATTCCGGCTAAAGGCACTGTTGGTAATCGTTCCTGTTCACACGGGACAGAGGATTTTCTGTTTGTTGTCAAAAATTCTGGAATAAAACTATTCAGCTGCAGCTGTTTGTCACCATTTTGTGATCAGCCCCTCATCAAATCTCCTTACCTTTGCTCCTTTAATACCTGGCATGATGTCATCTGGTTTACCTTTATCCAACACCTTCCTGTGTTGCTGAAATCAAAGGGCGGCTTTAAGAATCACAAACATTTATGTTTATGTTTATGCATTTGGCAGACGCTTTTATCCAAAGACATTTACAATATTCTACTTCACTCAGTTCAAAAAAATCTTACCTTTTGCTTGCATAAAGGCTCTTTCTTGTTTTCTTCAGCTTTAACTTCCTGCTGAATGACTTCTTTTGGCGTATTAACAGCTAATACATCATTTATTGTCGATCCTACCACCATTATTTTTGCACCAGTTGTAACCCTTATTTCACGTAGCGTCTTGTCCTCTGGAAGCAATCCTTTATACATCACTTTCTGCATGGCAGGTGGAAGACCTAAAATCCAATGAGACTAGTGAATAACTGAAAACGTCTATTGCATGTTGTGGTTCAAGTGTGTTTCATTTTTTGGGGAGGGTCTATTCTAAGTCTTACCAGTGAGTGAGTGGATTCTCTCTTTTAGTTTGGCTCCGGTGCTGTCGAGAGGAATCTTCAGGTCGTATTTGTTTTTGTTCCAGATAATCTTCAAGTCCACCGTTTCCAGGTTTTCATCAGCATCGTCCCCGTTGCTAAAACTAGAATCCTGAGTTGTGGCATTTCCTGCTTCTGTTTGTGACGTAGTCTCTTTGTCACTTTTTTCAACATCATCCCCAAGTGGTTCGGTTTCTTTTGGCTTTGTCTCACTTTCGATTATGACTTCTTCACTTCCTGAAGCAACAAGGGATCTCTTATATATTAATTGTTATATACACAATATAATAAAAATATAAGATAAGATGCAACTATTAAGAAATGCACATCTGTGTACTTGACAATGACTTGTAACAGTTTTATGTTACTACATCCAACCTAATAAGGTATCAGTAACAAAATGTGATGTTGTGAAACTGCCATGCCCAGTTGACACAAAATATTACACAATATTAAATAACTAATGAAAAGAAAAGGGCAATTTATAACATACAAATCACAAAATATGTAATGTATATACAATTTGTGGCTTTATGATTTATCTTAAATTATGTGCTTCTTCCTGTATGTTCACATAACAAATGCCTGAAACTATGGAGGTGTTTCTTTGAATAAACACAGTATAGTTTGACAGCTATTCAAGTTTAAATGTTTCTTGTCTCGTGTTCTTTCTAGCTCTTTCCATCGCTTCTTCCCACATTTAAAGCACGGTGAACGTGTGGCTTTGGCAATAGAACAATAAAATAACATAAAAGCAGCAAACGAGAATCGAGTTGAGCATTTTTTTAAAACCAAAATACATTCTCCTAAAGATTGTAATTTAGCTTCACAGGCTATAAAAGTGGTTACGTTAACGCAAGACACTGTACTCTGGGATTTTAGTTACAATTAATAACTTAACGGTGTTTAGTTAATTCTTTAACGACTTCGGTTGACCAGTGCAAACCTAACACGTGTTAATTTTAACGGTTTTACCGTCAGTCTTTCATAAATGTGGATAAATCTAATTGATGTTAGCAATTGTTAACGTTAGCTAGCTGAAGCACTGGTGAACAGTTGGAAAAAAGCGAAACAGGGAGATGAACATTCATATAACAGTCAGTTAAATATGTAATATATTTACAAGACCGTTACAAACAGGCATTCTTTCATTAGTACAATTTGAACTTAAACATATTAAGGAATTTCTACAACATTTTCTCAGTACCCACCATCCTGCGTCGCCATGATGATTGTGTACAATCTGTTGTAGGTTGTGGCAAAGAGAATACAGGAAGCAGGTTGAATATGATACGGGAAGCAAAAGAAGCAGAAATATGTAGCTCATACACACGTCTGTGTGTAGCGATGAAAAAGGAATTCAAAAATAAGATTGTTTTTTTTAAATGCCATTTACCACGGTCACTGGCACAATGTCAAAAACAGAGTTAGCGAGCTAACTTGTAAAGAAGACAAAAAAGTAGAAATGCGCATGCGTTGAAGAAAATACTTAAAAGTTAACTGGGAAAACAATTTGTAATGAACTACGTTAGGAGTGTATATCGCGCATTTAAATAGTTTAATCTCAAAATAGATAATTAATTAAAATTTTTGAAAACACGTGTAAGTCATAACGTGACTTTCCTTTTTTTTCTTTTAGCAAACACGGAAGTCAGTGGTAGTTTACCCTCTCGTTCTGTTACGCCTCTTGGTTGTTGTTGTGGTAGCTAAAGCAAACACCGAGAGATGGCACCTTTGTCATATTAACTTGCTTGTACTTATTAAAAAGTAAACAAACACATTCTTATCTAAGTAAGAATAAACGTTATAGTCTGTGAACAATTAAAGCTTAAAGACTAAAAATTAATCTTGCTGTGGACGCCAGCTGACCGTTTCAGATGAGATTGAATGCATCCTTAAAACGTCCCTTTGCAAATAGATTTGTTGGGCTAATATACCAAATTACGCGTCCTGCACTGAAATTACAAATTATTCTTAATAATAAAAGGGACAGTTGAGGATAGAACAACTCATCAAGATTAATCGTGTTTTCATTTAATATTTGGATTATAGTTTTAGAAAATGTACGTTTCAAATTTAAGTAATTAAGTAATCACTGCTTAGGCTCCTATCATGACTCAAAACTGTTTTTGCTTTTAAAAAATGTCTCAAAAGACATAAAACTACGGTACTCTTACACAAAATAATGTTCCTTTTGGCCACCTCTGGACGGCAGCAAAGATAAATGAGTTTAAATTACTACAAAGTACTCATGAAGAAGAAAATCGTACAAACGCTGAGAGGACAACCAAGAAGAAGAAGAAGAAGAAGCAGACCTCTGATTAAAAGAGCGCAGGAAAAAAAACTGCTTGTAATAAAAGTCACAAGTTGTCATGTGTACTTTGTCTAATAGGAGGGAAGTTTCCTTTTGACAGTGCAGCACTGTTTGTGTACATCCATACTCTGCATCACCCCTCTGGCTGTTGTTTGCGTATTAAACTGTAACTAAACAGATAGTGAGGTCAACTTTTAACAGCGGAGCAACTTTGTTGAAATGGATTTACGCGGCTCCTCATGGGCTTTTTAAGAATTGAAATTAGTCTTCGGAACAACACTACAAGCTGCACTACGTTAAAATGTATTAGGGCGATTAAGAAGACGGCATGGCAGACAGAAGGACTTACAACGTTGTGATTTTAGGTGTGGGGTTTTTATTCCTTTTCACCGCCTTCACCACATGTGGGAACGTTGAAGTAAGTCAACAACCTTCGATGTTACTTATCCTGTTGATAATGGATCCCCCCCCCCTTTTTTTTGGTTTGTTTTTGTTTTCTTGTTTCTTAAAAGCTTATTTTAAGATGTGGTGAAACCACTGTCTTGAGTTTTATTTTTGGTTTAATCGACGTAATAGATGTCCTGATTTAGCCACAAACTCCAAGATAATCCTTGTTTGTACAAGCGCCCTGACAAGCGCTTCATTCAAAGATAAATTAATTTTCTCAATGTTTCTATCATTTCTACAATGTGTATTTTAAAAAAAAGAAAGAAAATAAATTCACAGAAAAGATGTCTTGTATGCAGGAGGAAATGGGTCAGTCAGAGCAGTAAGCCAGGCGTGTCTCGTGTTTCTGATTTTCTTAAATGGTCAGTGAAATGATCAAACTGGATTCACTTGAGGTCATGTATCTCTCTATGACCCATTTTAACAGGTCTTACCCTTTACCTAAATCCATTAATCAATTAATTTACTGCATAATTAACGATTTCTTATCTTTTTATTTTAGCAAACTGTGGTGAAAAGTCTGCAAAATTCAACTTTCAGTGGGAGTGGGTACCACAGGTAAAACAAATCTAAATAACAACAAAACAAACAAGCAAAAAACAGATTTTCATAAAAATGTATACACAATGAGGAGCTTACTTTGTTCTCTGTTTGCCTCCTGAATAGCCTTGGGATAATCTATGGTGTCTTTTCATTTTCCAACCTGCTCGCACCAACAATTGTTACCGTAATTGGAGCCAAACTGACCATGTTTTTGAGCGGCCTTCTTTACAGGTGATTGTGGCTGTGGGGATTTTTATACTTTAGGGATTACAGGGGTTTTTGTTGCTGAAACATGTGGTTTATACATATCTCTGTGTACAGTGGTTACATTGCTGTGTTCATCATCCCTACCACATGGTCTTTTTACCTGACCTCTGTACTCATCGGCATGGGAGCAGCCAGTAAGTCCCCTTTCCACAAGCTGTCTTTCTTTATTAATTATTAAATTTTTTTCATATTTGGTTACAAACATGTAAAAGAAATAATATTCCTCTTGGCAAAAGTCTTCCTTTGACTTGAGGCTGATCATGAAGTCAAAATTCTGAATAAAAATAAATTGATATATTTTTATTTTTGCATTTGTGGATTTATTTCAGCAGAGAATCTGGATTTTATCAGGATCAGTTCATTTTTAAAAATAAAAATAGGCAGGTTTTCATGTTTTCCTGACCCCTACTCAATGGTATTAAATTCGGTGAAATGGACAAAGGAGCAAGACACTGATTTTTAGCAATAGCCCATAATATTAAGGCATGTAAAAACCTTAGTTTGGCTGGGCTGCGTTGGGTTTTTCATCCTACGCTAGCTCGATTTATGTTTTAAAATCCCGAACGCGTTTAATCATGCCGACAGGGATTATCATGGCTGGGAAGCTAGAAACAGCATAACCTAAATTACACCTTAAATGGGTTAATGAATGTGTTTTCAAGTAGCAAACAGTACCCTCAGGTAACAGATAAACCTTAGTGAAAGTCCTCACCAGAGTATTTACTGGGAAAATGAGAAAAAATTAATTATTATTTTTTTTTAGTTGCTTGGTCTTTTTCTTTTTTTTCACTCCAACCTAAAATCACAGCGGTGAGATGAATTTGTATAACATCCCTTGGCTTCTAATTGCTTGCATCCATTACGTACCTACACATAAATATAATTTTTTGTAATGAGTTGTATATATTGTATTTCTCTGCTACTCTTCAGTGCTCTGGACAGCTCAAGGACACTTTCTTGTGGAAAATTCAGAAGCTTCCACCATCAACAGGAACACTGGGGTGTTCTGGGCCCTTCTACAGTGCAGGTATGTTGCCACAGACACAGGATGCTATCACGCTGTCTATTAGGTGTTGAAGTAAAAGGATACATTTTTTGCTCATTAGTGTGTGTAAAATGAAAAAAACACCATGGATTTCAAGATTTGTATCAAACTGCATGTGAGAATAATTAACAGTGGTGTTTAGGTGATACATTACAAATGTTTTAGCAGAGAATGAGCAGCCCCTCTCCCCATCTGCTGTCTAAACCACCCAGAAGTTATTTTTAAATTGCAACATTTTTCACAGTGTCTTCATGTTTTTTTCTCTTAATGCTTGATGCAAAGCCTTCAGATGATCAAAGGTATAATTGTACTGCAGCATCCAAATTCACGTCCAGCCCGCATTTTCATCTTGGACAGGATATATTAAAAATTAAGTTTAATAAGTCATGCTGCAGTCATTAGTTAGTCTGCTCAGCCTAAACACATCAAAACTGACATGATCTGACGGAGGGGGGGGGGGGGTTACTTTCCTATTTTTTTTGCAAACAATTCATTTTTGTTTGCTAAAAGATGCAAATTGAATTAGTAACATAATTGCATTGGCTGTCACCTGTGCCAAAGCTCCCAATAGGGCATTGCTAATCTGACTCCTCAGTAGTGATCACTGCCATAACAAACCTATGACTCTATTCCACACAACCTGCAGACACAAACAGCGTGCCACTGAAAATCACGGCTGCCTTTCATGACTAACCTCTGTTACCCCTCAAAGGGGCTCTGGGATAGGGTGCTGGCTCATCTACATTTTTTAGTTCAGGTGGATATGTGATTAAATATAGAAATAGATCTGAGCAGTCTGGAGCAGCTCAGTGTTTGTAACCACACAAGGCAGATAAACAGCTTCAAAAACTGAATGAAGCATCCCAGCTGGTAGAAATAAGGTATTCATATTCATAAAGTAAGTCTGTGACAGCCAGAACTGAAAGATTAGACTTATTTTCTTCCTATAAAACATATTATCTCAAATGACTCATCTAACACCTCATTCAATTTTTTCACCTTTTTAACAACACTAACCGTCCAAATGGGAGCACTTTAATTAAAGGGAGCCGTTTTCAAATTCTGAAAGGCCCAATGAGGTTTGAGATACACAAAACCTCTACGTGCGCACAAGGGTGCTTGAATTAAATGATCAAATTTGTCTTGACATCTCACACACTTTTTCTCTTATGATTAAAAACTTGACTTTCCTTTGTTTAAATTTCATAGAGGTTTCAAATACTTTTGCCACTCTTCAGCATACGCTGTTGGGTCATTTTCCTATCGTGCAACGAATGAAAAGAGTTTTGTATGATGAATTCAAACAGATTTTATTTAGACGTAGAAATAAAGGAAATCTATAGGGCTGTATTCACCTAGAACTGTAATCTTACTGAATTCTGCCTCGAAGACGCCAAGTTGCTGAGGCCTTTGTACCGCAGAGACTACATTTTATGTTCCATTGTTGGGACTCTTTAGCACGCATTACTACATGGATTTCTCTCAAAAAAAGCTGATGGTGGAATATTATTGCATACAGTGAATTTACAAAGCCTGATATAACATATGAATTGTGGTTTGTTTGCATTTGTGGAGCAGTTTGGGATTTTCAGTTCTCCCTAAAGAAATAATGGTAAACCCACACTTAACCTTTCTGATCATCTCAGAGACACTGGAGGTGGAGGAATTTCACCCTTTAGCAATATGAGCATGTCAGGTATGTGTGTGAGATGCCAGTAATTTAATGTGCAACATTTGTTTCATTTACAGTATGCTCTTTGGCAATCTTTACATCTATCTGGACTGGAACGGAAGCACGGAAATATCAGGTAGGGTCAGACTTACAGAGTATCTTATGTGAGTGCAAGAGTACAATGAAGCACGATGATACTAATAAAATGTCATCCAGAAGGATTGTACGAGTGACTGGTTATTCTGAATGTGCCCCCGCTAATGGCCTTAATATATCTGCTGCATTTTAATGAAGCCGTTTATTTTAATCTCCTGCTCTCAGACAGCAGTAGGAGAAACATTTTTCTGTTCCTGCTCGTCGCCTCCATCCTCGGCACGCTCAGCTTCTTGGTGTTGAGAAAGAGTCATCATGAAGAGGAGATGCTCTCTGAAGAGGAGGGGAGGTCGCTGCTCTCCACTCGTGCAATGTAAATCACCACCCTTCACATAATTGCACCTTTTTCACCGTGGTCTCACAAAATCAACCAGAATGTATATTGAAAAAAATATTTCAACAACCTCAAAAAGGACAGAGAAGTCAGGAACAAATATATGATAGCTTCAGTGAGCAAAAAGTTCTGAGTTTACTTTCCATCTTCCAGCTGTTACCAAACAAGCCAAGATACCATTTTCTCTTTAAATACCCAGCTTGCATTTGAAAGCACTTTCAAGATGACTTCATGCTTCAGTTACACAGGAGTTCTGAACCAGTCTTGTCCTTCACAAAATGACACTCACCATTTTTCTTGTGATCAGTGCAATTTTGACAGCGTCAAGGCTAATGATAGCACTTTAAACAAGTAGGGTGCAATCAGGCAGATCTGGGGCAGCTGGGATGGAGAGTCTTTTTGAGAGGAACAAGAATGCCTTTCAGTGGTTTTTCCCTACAAATTCGAATTTTTATTAACCTGGACTGAGATGAGTCAAAGCCAAAAAAGAAAAAAAAAAAGAAAATGAAAAATGCATTTTTCATTGAACACAGTTTAAAGTCGTGTTGGCAGAAAATGTACTGGACAGAAAAACCTTTGTAAAACAAAACCTGACAGGGAAATCAGTGGATTAAATGGAAATCCTGTTAGTATGTTAGCTTAAGCAATACATTTTATCTCCATCTGCTTCTGTCATGAAGCAGCTGATGGTATCAAAAATTGTTTTAGTTTCATATGAGATAAAAGTGTTCAATCTTTGCTCGATGGTCGAGTTTTAGAATAAATAGTGACTCCAGCAGCATAACAAGGAATCCTGCAGGGACTAATCCTCCCTGCATTTGATTGCGAGAGATTGAATCTTTTCTTTGCTCGATATAAACCACACGACTGAACGTGTGAACAATTTATTTCTATTGACAATATTCGCTGTTGTAGAAGTTGATAATAGTATAATTTCTGGTGTTTAGGTACAAGAACAGAGCAAACACTGCTTTGCGGGATACCAAGTCAGAATTCAGTAAGTTTAATCTTCCTTTAAAATTCCTTATTTGGTGGCAATTGCCCTGTTTTCATTTCAGTACCTGGGACCTGCTTGTTTATATGCATTCATTATATATATATTTACACGTGTGTGTGTGTGTGTGTGTGTGTGTACGTGTAATGAATACAGTTAATTAATCCTGACGCCAAAGTACAAATAAGCATGTGTCATGGATTGAGATGAGTGAAGAATTTAGCATAGTACGTGTGCTCCCCTTAATGAGCTTTTTAGAATGTATAGAAGCTAGAACACTAATGAGATTAAGGACATTACTGGGAGCTTGTTTGTTAGTTTAACTGTTAACGCACATTATTTTTTCTCTATGCGCATCTTAAATTTGATTTTATTATGATTTATTGATCGTGGCGGATTAGATCGCCTGGTGTTAGAACTCAGTGTGTGTTTACACCAGGTCTGACAATGCACCTAAACGTGTTTCCTTTGTGACTCCTGGTGATTTTTACCTCACTACATATTGCCAGCTGTCAGCTGAGTAGCAAGCATCATCAGTGAGACTACTGATGTTTCTAAAACTTCTCCTGGTTTGGTCACTCTGATACAAGACATGACCAGAAGGAAAAATCCATTAACTATGAGCTGCCAGTGTTGCAAAGAATTGAGGGTGAATGAATAGTTTCATATTACCTTGCTTTCTACGTCTCGTCTCGGATTTTTCGCAGAAGCTACCCAAGAATGTTGTTTTCACCTGCTTTAAATCTCAGTACTCCCAGTCATAGGCAGATTTGTTTTTCTTCGAGCCAAATTTGCTTTCATGTGGATAAAAATCTTCCAGCATCATAGAGTACTCAGAAACTGCCCGAGTTTGAGTTTATCTCAGATAATCTCTCTGTTTGTCATCTGGAAACTCTGCCACACTTGCTCCTGCCTGCAGTGCTGCCCTAAGTTGTTTGGAGGATCAGATTGCTCTTTGTCTCGTATGCATCTTTTGTACATGTAGATTTGTGTGCCTCTGCCGTGGAGATTTCAGCCTTATCAAAGAAGCACGCTGATTCATGTCAAGAAAGGGCATCAAGGCATACATAAACAAACCTGGTGGGATTTCTGCTTTAAAATCTGCATTTCTCCTGCAACCTGAGTGAAAGTCTCTCTAGGGCGCTTTTTCTGCCTGCATTTAAATGTGGCTTTTTGGTCTACTGTGAGAGAATATTTTTTCCATATTCTACCAGCACTGAGCTTTAATTGTCAGAGGAAAAGAAAAAGGCCCTTAATGTCGGCATTTTCATATGAGCTCGATTCAGATTTAAAGCAGGTGTATTACTTCAAGGAGCATGGCTTTTGTTAGCAATTCAAATGAGTGTTTTTGTGTCTTCTCCATTTCAGGAACTATCCTGCAGCTGCTGAAGACTAAAACTATATTGCTCCTAAGTCCATGCATGGCATACAGTGGTAAGGAAAATGCATTAATAGCGTAAATCTTTCAGCCTCCAGTTAAAGACTTGCAGCTACAGCACAGCACGCCCTCCCTATTCTCCAGGCCTCGAGCTGTCTTTTTACAGCGGTGTATATGGAACATGTATTGGAGCAACTACACACTTTGGAGATGCAGCAAAAGGTCTAATTGGGATCTCTGGGATTGTGGTAGGCATTGGAGAAATAGTAGGTGAGTTTACCTTCCTCTCTCAGTGCATGTTCAGCTGATTTAAAGTCAATGGAAGTCTCAGAATTCATGGGGAGTGTGCTGGTTTCTGTCAGGTGGAGGCTTTTTTGGATTGCTATGTAAGAACAGTCGCTTCAGACGAACATCTGTGGTGTTTCTGGGGATGGTTGTCCATTTCATTGCTTCCTATTTGATCTTCCTGAACATCCCTGATGACGCCCCCATCGTCTTTGAAACCACCACCCAAAAGAATCCATATTTAACTCCAAGGTAGGTCATTTCTGTGATGATTTAACGAGGAGGTTTGAACTTTAGGACTCTCGGCCGCATTCATGCTGTGATGTAATGATGGCTTTTTTTTTCTCTCAGCGTTTCCATTGCCCTGCTGTGCAGCTTCTTGCTTGGACTTGGAGATAGTTGTTTCAACACACAGCTCTACAGCATATTGGGCCATGTCTATGCTGAACAAAGCACACCTGCCTTTGCAATCTTCAAATTCATCCAGGTAATCCTCTGTTGTCTCTTCTCAGACACTGTAAGCAGAGCCGAGCAAATCTAAGTCAAAACATTCTACCGTCAAGTGTAAAATAAATTTTCTCATTTTTCAGGCTGCAAAGATGGCCTATAACAGAATAATGCTCGCTGGTATTTTCTCAGCCTTTTTAATATTAGGGAGTGATTTTGATTTCAGAGCTCATGTAATAAATCAAACTTAACTCTTTGTGTAAATTATTAACAACAAATAGAAAGGAATGGCTTAGATTTTTTCTTATATTAATCCACGTGGATGTATTATTTCAGGTTAAAAAAATATGACAGTAGGTACATCAAATTTTGAATTTTAGTTCCTATGGAGATTTTCTGTTAAAAATTTTAGTGGGATTTTTTCTTCTGCATTTCTTCTTAGTCTGTTAGTGCGGCCATGGCGTTCTTCTACAGCGGATACCTCCTGCTGATGTGGCAGCTCCTGCTGATGGTCGTCCTGGGCTTCATTGGAACCCTCTGCTTCTTTGTGGTGGAGAGGATGGATGACTTCTCTGTAGATTTACAGGAGTATTAGAAAGAAAACGTGTCCGTTTCCGCTCCCACCTTCCGTCATGTTGCATCGATGCTCTCCATTTCTGCTTCAAGCAGTCAATAAAATAACCAAGACTTGTAGGTGTCTCGTATTCGTCCAAGTGATCGAGATTCTTTAATTGAATTTTCAGCGACCCGGTTATGCTGCACTTGGTCTGACGTTTTTAATCAGCTTCCTGCTCAGGGTCCTTATAATGGCAACGATATTTTATAATGATATTGCATGTATCTGAACTGTTCATTTAGAATCTGTAAAGCTGTAAACTCGATACTAAATAATGCCTGACAATCACTAACCTTCATTGTTTTTGTACATTTTGGGTTCGGATGTTGTTTGTGAGTCTTTAATAATAAAGTTTTTGCAGTATTAGCGGTTGTATTTCTTGTAAGTCGTGGAGTTCAGATAATGTTGATGCAACCTAAACTGAAAGACACTGGATACATTTGGATTTCAAGAAACATTTTTAGCAGAGCCATCTTTTGGATTACGTAGCTTAACTGTACTCCCCTTTTAGCCTAACGCTTCAACTTTGATGTGTAGATTTCTAATGTAGTGTCTGAAGCCTACAGAAAGGTACAGACTGTTCTGTTCAAAGCATCAACACGACACCATGCTATCACAAAGAAATTATTTGTTTAAATTATTTAGATCTTTATCAGTTGGCCTGTTTTCACTCCAATGTTTACATCCAGCTGTGCCAATCTGTTTTAATTCCATCCTGGAATGCCAGATTTATTTACAAATCAATCAGCTATTAATTGAAAAAAAAGATCATGCAAGGGCTAAGCTTAAAGGAAAAGTTGGGAGGTGCTGGGGTCAGACAACTTCATCTGTAATTGAGTATTGATCAAATTATAATGAAAAAAGCAGGTTTGTGCGGTCTTTGCTCTATTGTGCCTTGTAATTGATATCAACAAAACACTGAAAACATGACAAAATTATACGACATCTACCCCAAGAATTAAATCCTGGTAGGATATGGCTTAGAGGGATAAGGTTGTAAATAAGTTAACTACTACCTAGACACATGTTTAATACATGAGGCCTCTTCACAGGCACAATAAAGATAGAAAAAAAAAAAAAAAAGCTCATGTAAGACATCAATTGTGCAGAGTTTTAGGCTAGTTCAATTATGCAGGGTGACATGGTCTACAAACAAAGTATATTCCCTGTCCGTGTTTATTGAGCTGTTGTTTTAGTTTAGTATTCCCACAACTCTTAGGCTCCACCTGGCCAACACAGCCTAGATTTCCCATAGTACCACTTTAGTCGACTGAGCAGATCAAACACACACATCAGGGCTGATGTGCTTAATTAAGTCACAACCTCGTATCACAGTTGTAATAAGCAGCCCTAATTGAAATTGACCTGCGGGACAAGTGACTGGGGCATTTTGGGGCAAGAGAAGACTGAGGAAACTGATCAAGTGAAAGTCTTAAAGTCTTAAATTCAAAGTCTGTCTTAGCCCAGGGGAGTTGTTAATTTATTCTAATAACTTTCATCTGTTACCTGCTTGATTGGCTCAGACTGTCAATTTACCCAGAGAGCTGCACTTGTTTCCACATCTCGGTACCTGTAGCTCACTCACTTATTAAATTTAAGAACATGCCTCATTTCCGTTAATTATGGCAATAACACATTGTAGGATATTTTTGTAGGTAAGGCTGAGGGCGCAATTAAAAAGCCATTTTCAAATGGAGAAACATTTCAGATTAGATTACTAACAACTGTTATATTTAGTTTTAGCAGCATTTCTACATAATAGATGTTTAACTCATCAGCAGCTCAATTAAACTAATCCGTCAGAGGTTTGTGTGAATGGATCAAAGGTTGTGATTAGACCAAACACATGTAACAATTAGCCTGTTTTCTCCACAGCATCAGAAAACACAAGATACATGTTTTAATTCTGAATCTTTTTATGACCACCAGAAGCTGACAGAGAAGCTGACTTCCAGAGACCTGACGTAATGCCAGTGTTTGACAGGGATGAACAGGACGTCTGCTGGCTTTAACACGCATTCCAAATAGGGAGCTTTGGCAAACTCCGGGAAACGCTCAGGATCTGGATTCTCCACCTCCACCTGCACAGAGGAACACAGAAATGGAAAACCCTGGATTTTGTGATGGTCCCACACAAGCTACTCTGTATGGACAGACTGTCCGTCCCACCTGACTGGTATTGTGAAGAAGCTTTGACTGATGAGGGTAAAGTTTGTCTGTGTCCTCCGGGGAATACAGGCGGATGTATTTACTTCCCACCACCTGATATATATGTAAGGGTGAATCCCACGGGGTTAGCAAACTGAACAGGTGTCACATGTTTTGACAGCAGCTCGATTCAGGAGGCAGGATGGTTGTAGTTACCTGAGCCAGGAAGTTCTGCTGCGGATCTTGGTGAAGAGGAGATACTGTGCCTGCAGGTCCAAACCAGGCGTTGACAGTAATTTCATCCTCCTCTCCTTCACCGAGACAGCAATAATCTGGGATACGTATATCTTCTTTTAATTCTGGTATCTAAGGGAAAGCAAACAAATAAGAGTCAATGAGCAATTAGGTGATAGCAGTAATAGATGTTTCACAAAAACATGATTAAATACAATTACATATCCACTGCTTACTGTGAACACTGTTTAATATGCTCACTGGGCAAAGCCTTACAATCTTATTTCAAATAGAACTGGGCAAAAAGTTTGGACACGTCTGCACGCTGCTTCTGAATAAGCAGAATACCCAACATTTCTAAGCAATGGGGGGCTTTTTTGTAATTTCCAGTATTTGGAAGCTTTACGGTGTTAAATGGTTAGTGTTCAAAGAATCTCTACTACTCATAACACGTCTATTACTGAGTTGCCTCTTGTTTTCTTCCATCTGAAATGCTTCTTTTTCGCACCCGGCTCCTTTAAGAACACATCCTGAAAATGCCCCATTTAAAAAAAGAATAATAATGTGATGTGAAAGGTAAAGCTAAAAGTGGACCTGATCAAAAAGCTGGTGTTGAGCAAGATAACCCAAAGCTTTCCCTCCATCCTGGGGGCTTTGGATCTGCAAAGGAAATTAGAAAAAAAATGTCTGCAAATCCCATGAGATGTTAACTTTCTTCACTCAGGACGACAATGCAGCTTGATAAAGACGCACTCACTTTATTCAGAATGTATCTGTCTATGAATTCATTGACTGTGAGCAGTGTTTGGGACCAGTTCTCGTCCGTGTACCTGGATCCAACCTCGACCGGAACGGTCCTGCAGCCGGCCACAGACCTCAGGTAATCTATGCTTTACAGGAGGTAGAAGATCCAAAAATATTGCATCATTAAGAGGATTTCACATATAGCAGTTAGCCTGTCACCTCTACCAAGCTGTGGGAACTAAAATGAAAACATGACATTAAAGGGAGCTTTTTCCATCTGTTTCCAAACCAGTGAAAGAAGAAAACTGTAGTGGAAACATGATCATGATCACTTTAGTGACAAGCCCAATGAAACAACTGGACAAACCTTCTAAATTCTGCATTATATGAGCTAGTTGTCCTTTTGTAAAAGAGTCATCAGGGTTTCCTATGCCCTTAGCTGGTTAAGTGCTCTTAGCTGTTATCTCAAGTAGGCATCAGTCTGATTACATGGCTGGACTGAATATGAGTGGAGTTGTTCTGTCTAACAAAGCTAGAGATTAATGTTAACACTGCAAATCTAATTTTTAAATATCTCTCTGCTTTAACCTCGTGAATGTTTGTGTTTAACAAAGGACATTGTGATGATATATGGACGTCTCCATGCAGACTAACGCTAAAATATCACATGAGGTTATTTCAAAGAAAATAGCAAAATCAAGTGAAGCAGAGTACATTGTGAAAAAAAACAACCTCCAGCATTTATTGTTGAGGGCTGGCCAGTGGTCGATAATCCCTTCTAAAATCACGGGTTTGAGGGGGAGCAGGTAGTTTGCATTGAAGCTTTCAAGTGAGGGACACTTGATCCTGGGAATGGCCATCTCTTCTTTGAGTGAAGGAATATGCAGGCTCTCAATCTTTGCTCTCTGTGGATTGTAATTCAGATTCAAACGTGGGAATATGTCAGTTCAAGCTTGAGAGAAAAATAAAAAGAATTCTGGGGTGATATTTTTTAGACAAAGGGCTGAAAGGATTGGGCTTTTGATGAACTGATATAGTTTCAGAGACTGAATAAAAAACACAGAATTAAGTACTGGTATCGATACAGGTTTTGTAGATGTGCTGATTTTCTCTATCTTATATTAAATTAAATGTAATGTTTTTGGGAAAAGCATGTGGTATTATTCCCTTTTTTTCAGATATTTCAAAATAAGAAAACAGCAGACACAGAGCACAAAAGTGTATAATGCATTAAGAAAATGTAGCCAACCCTGGTCTAAACAAAGTGATCTGACCTGTGCGAATGTGTGGCACTTCAGAGACATCTGATTAGGTACAACATGAAGGCTTTAATCAAAAGCTGACTGACCTTGACCTCAACATGCTCACTTTCTTCCTCATCTTTAGCAGCTTTGCTTAATTCACTTTGCAGAATCCCAACAACAAGTTGGAGTATGTCATCCATGATGGCAGCGCCCATGAGTAAACCCATGTCACAAGTCCTAATGGCCTGCATGATCTCCTCCTCTGAAGGACTTTCTCGACACAGTGCGCCCACTTTGAACAGGCAGCCGTGGGAGTAAATCCGCCGCCACTCTTTGTCCACATGCCTCCATGTCCCTGTGTTGAGTCTCTCCCATGAGATGTCCAAAATTATCTGAGCGTTGAGCATTCGGCAGGCGCTTGCTGTGTCACTGTATAGCTGCTGTCTGGATCGTTTCAGTATTTCCACCACACTTGACTCCACTTTGTCACCGAACTGCAGTGGAAACTGTTCTTCATTTGAAGGCAAAACCGAGGAAATTTTTGACCACAAAAATGCCATTGATGAGACAGTTTTTATGTGTTCTGTGGGATGGAGAAGACAGATAAGTGAAAACCTCTTACTGCTTCAGTCTGAAGCCATGGTGATAAAGAAGCTCTCATTTAGACTAAAATTACATCCACCCTGGAGACGGCCTAATTTGGAACAATTTTCTGAAATTTTCAGACAGAAAGGCTGGAAAGTAATCACTTGTGAGCTCACCTGGCCGTGGGCCCATCAGCGAAACAATCTGCTCTAACTGCCCTCCATCATCACATACATACACAGGACACTTGTTTATTCCATTACTGAAAGCCTGTCTGCTGCAGGGAAACAGGCTTGTGCACCTAATTTGCAAACTGGCAAACATAAAATGCAGGTGAGGACATCCATAGCCAGAACTGTGCATAAAACACATGCACAATAATGGCAGTTTGTCGCGTGCTCTTTGGAGCAGCCAACTGTGCCTCGCTGCATCTCCATCCATGTTTGGATGGGCTGTGTTGCTAGAGATGTTGCCAATGCGTGAGGCAGCCAACTCCGAGCACCTGATCCTGTTCCGTCAAAGCACACAGTCGTGTGAACGCACCGGCATACTGTGCTAAACAAAAATTAATGAGTGTGTTTGGTATGCCACGTGCCGGAGGTCCGACTCTGAGAGCTACCTGCAGCAGTTCTCAGATGTCTAATCACAGTGGAGTATATATATTTCCACTCTTTTCAGAGACCTTTTTATAAACTCGAGGCTTGTGTCCTGTTGCATTTCAGAGATGGACTTGGTACCTGTGTCCCAAGCATGTGATTGGGATTACAAAAGTTTGACAAGTACTTTTCTGACAGATTTGAATTTGTTCCTCTTTGCAAAGCAGATAATGGAGTTCTGCAGGTTTCTGTGCTTGAACTGATTCTTTACATTTTTATTTAATTCCCTTAGGTAACATTAATGCTGACATTCCCATTGTCATTCTGATGATGCTTATCACTTAAACCAAAAGAAACTTATCAGTTTCTACACGCATGTCTCAGTGGCTCCTGCCAGCTGACACTTTGGGTACATAACACAGACACACTATCAATCCATAAAATCAGGATTAAAACTCTCCTAGATGACGAAGCTTATACGTATCAGTGGCTTTGGGGAACCTGAAACATTTCATATTTATGCTCCTGTAGGCTTCCAGCACGACAGAAACAGGCAGTTGGGGTTACCCCCAAAATGCATTTCTCGTCACTCCGACCAAATCTTAAGCGAAAAGAAACTCCTAAAATGCGACGTTTACCTGTTATTTCCACATCTATACAGCGAATATGCCTGTTTCAGAAATTACTGAATTGTTCACGAAGCTGCAGCAATCACTTGTGGCCGATGGGACTAAACGAAAAACACACCGGGTGGAAACTCAAACATCGAGAAACAATGGTTCCACATTGCGGTTAAGGCTATTTGTATGCGTTAAATGAGCAAGCTCGACGTTATTGATGTCCGCAGTTAATGGCTTCCACAAATTAGTGAAGTTCGAGAATGCCGATGCATCTGTGGTCTTTTAAGAACTAAACACGCACTTATTCACTTGTCCAGTAGATGGTGACAACATCTTCATAGCAGAAACATTAACTAAAAGTTTAAATTAGCCAATCAAAGCTGGCATCTTGTACAATGACTGAACTGCAGGACACCAACAGTCAGAAAGGAAAACTAACAACTCTACAAATGCTCGTTTGTCATGTGTTTCTTCTGCTATGCATGCACCCTCCTACACCACTCCCACACATTTGCCCAAAGCCTCCTACATAGTCTTGTGGCTACACAGAAATCTGTTCATCTCTCATTTGAGCTCTGCCTTTCAGATGATCAACCAAGTGTGGCCAAGCGCACCCACTTAAAACAAAACTGTGCTTTGGTGCCAGCCTCATTTATGTGCATTTTAACACAGAGGTTTTACAGCTGTCTCAACAGGTGGGCAACATCACAGCGTTGCCTTGAGACAGCAGCTGTCAAGATAAATGTTGGCTCTTTCCACAAATATTCTTTGCCCTTACTTCTTTTGCGCCTGCTTGTTCTGGTTTTAAGGTAAATCCAGTTCGTAGGCTGAGAGAAACGTATCTACTAAGAAGAAGCTAAAAGAAATTGATTTGACGAGTGGTTTTCGAGTGTTTCGTATTGCTTTGACTTTTAATTGGTAGGTAACCTGAGCAAACATGATATCACACCCTTTGCTGTGATGTGTAGAATCTGTAAGCTCTCTTCACTATCATAAATGTCAAACACTGTGAGCGCAATTCAAATATTCTCTGTGCAATGCACAAGGCTGTTCTTGTATGGAGAGCAGATGGAAAAAAAGAGACAGGCTTTCTTTCCAGAAATCACAGGGGAGTTCAAATAATGTTTCAGGCATTTCTGTTCACTTTCCCTGTGCAAATAGAAGAATTCTCGTGACTCAATCTATTGTTTTCTTGCTTTCACAGAAGTGAGAGATTACTGTGATGGCCAAAATAGCAGCATTTTCATTGCTTTTTCATGCCTTTGCCACTGCTTTTTAAATGAGTAAAAAAAAAAAAAGACTGTTTAAGAATTAATAAAAGAGCCTTTAAAACATATCCTTCCTTGAATAAAATGACAGCTGGCATTGCAGTTTTAAAAAAGGTCACTGGAATAGACGTGTCTGAATTTGTAGTATAAATTCTGAGATGGAGACACACACTCTCAGCTGGTCAAATACACTGTCTTCATTATTGTTTGGGAATCTGTGAGAGATAGTCCTAACACCATGATGTGAATGCTGCGTTTGTGCATCTCTCTGAGCAGTCAGGGTGGTCCCAGCAGGAGAGACTGATGTATTATTCACACATGTCCGACTCTGTGGTTGTAAGACAGTGTGAGGCTGTGCTGAAGGTCACGAGTCTGGCAACGCTGTTCCTCCCTGTGCTGTCAGGGCGGCCTTCCTGTGCAGGGGTCACTGACCTCTCCCTGTTTTATGTGGAAGGAGAGGGGATCACTGTCTGTTCCTCCTCGGGCCTTGTTAGCTTATGTCATTCTGAGAATATCTCACAATCTTATTCCAAAACATTGCGTGATTATGTATTTTCTTTAAATTGAACAGAGGGAATATCCAAAGAAACAAAAACAAAACAAAACAAAAACCTTTAACCAGGTTGGCCAGGTTGCGAAAACAGTGAAAAATCAATGTTATTACATGTTATTAAAATCTTTGCATAGATTAGGCACACAAAATGGTTGAAATTTTGTGATAAAGGAGATAATCTCTCCACAGTCATCAAGAGTTTGACTGAAACAAAAGTTTGTATTCTACAAGGATTCAACTCATGAGTCTTTACACATTGTGCTGTGGGCTTTCATCAAATGCAGGAAGTGATTCAGTTTTACAATACGATTTTCTGATGGAAACCGCTATTATATTGATACATTGTGTGAGCTTTCTCTGAGCGGTGAACATTTCATTTGGTGTATGCCATAATTCCTTTTCATCCTGGGTTTCCGTTGTAGTTTAACAAAAAAACTCAGCAGCAGTGGGTTTGCCAGCAGTCATACAGGGCAGCAGGGCTGCACAGACCATAACTGTCTGCAGCACGCTCCCATGGGCCTGCGAGCATAGAACCACCAGGACGCCACAGGAGGGATGTAATCACCACCATTACGCTCCAGGTGCTGCTGAAATAAAAGATGGATACAAGCCTCCGGTGGCGTTGCCATGGATCAGAATCCAATTAAACACTGTTTAGCTTGACGCAAACTGCCAGTCGTAGCCTGTTGACTCATGAAATTAATGTATTGTTGAGGCACAAAGAAACTGTTGCCACAGAGAATGAGGCACGACCTGAAGCAGTAACCATTTGAATTCCTATTGCTTCATTTTTGGATCATGCTAATTTCACTGGGCAATTGATTGTCAGAATGGCAGCATAATATTCAATCTGTAATTACACAATTAACTTTTTTGCTCTTGTTGGAGAGGTCTTGTATTTTCTTAACCTTGCATACAAATACACATCATACAAGGTCTCCAAGTTCAGGGTCCCATTTATCCCCAAGGCAGTTATGCATGCATAAATAACTAGCAGCAGTTAAGGGTTGCTACATTCCTTGAAAACCTGGTAATGGATATTTGGACGTGCCCTAGAGAGGTAACAAATGAGAGGTGTAAAGTTAAATGTCCTGTGAAATCATCAGGAGATCTGAAACAAGCTGCTTTTACAGCCTCGGGGAGGTTTCCTCAGACAATTATCTCAAGCACACTGAGCCCTCAACTCAGTGTGACTACAGGTCAGCGTCGCAGGTCTGCTCACTTACAGATGTTTCTGGTAAGTCAGAGGCAGGGATGATGGAGCTTCCCCTGGGTCATTGAAAAGACATGGGCTTGCCAGCGTGGCATTTCTCAAAGTAATGTTAGCAAAATGCTCCAGCAGGTGCTCACTTCCAGTGGCTTAATACAGGACGCTGGTGTGCAAGCAGTCCGTCAAAACGACTTTGGATCAAATTAATACAACCAGGTGTACCCCTGTAGTTGAGGCTCAGGTGACACCTGCTACTTCCTTTTAATTAGACCACAAACAGCTGTTTCAAGATAGACAGAAAGGTGCTGGCTCCCCAGGTTAGTCTGCAGCCTCACTCAGCACTTGATACCAGTCACATCTGATTATTGATGTAAACTGTGGCTGAAGCTGACAAACAAATCAATAGCAGGCAGAAGGAAAATATTTGGTTTCATCCCATATAGGGTAGAAAATAATAATATTAATGACAGTGAAAATGTTTTCCAGCTTGAGTCATCCCATTTCCAACCGTCCTCGGAATGTTTATAAAAGCGAATCGGTGCTTCTGGCAAAAAAGATTCACTTCTGACAAATATGACTCACTTGCTAAGCAAGGTGAGGATAAAAGTGGAGGCAGTCCTCACCTCGTTATTCTAGCACTGTGAAGAATCTTCAGTGGGTTGCAAGCTCTGAGGGTAGTTTAGGTAGCTTTGATCTTTCTTGGATGCAGTAATAAGCATGGTGCAGATGAAGAGAGAGGGTATCATCTCGAAATATGATTTCCCTTTGGTTCTCTAACAGGGCTAAAAAGAGGTGGGTGGTCAACTCCAGGGGCTCCGCAGGAAACTCTTAGCTCCTGACAAGGTGCAAGTGTAAGCTCATACATACAACCATGGCAGCTGAACAAAGTAATATTACTCCAAATGTCCTGGCAGCCCCCGTGGCTATAAAAAAAAAAACTGCCCCTGCTACACGGTGTGTAAATCTACAAGTCCAAAGCTGGAGGCTCCGTCTCACAAACGGACACAGCTGAGTGGCACAGGTTTTGAGGGTGGTTGCTTCTTTTGTCATGCAAATGTACAGGTGAGGCCTTTTGGGTGGAATATGCTGTTAGACCGTTTTCTTTTTTTTTTATCAGACAGGAAGGAATTTTAAGTCTTTCCTGCCCTGTCCTGCATCTACTCAAAGGTCAGGTGAAGATAAGAGGTTCAATTACCAGCAGAGAGCAGTGTTGTGGCAGCAAAGTGCTTCTCATCATGGCTTTCTAATTTAGTATGCAAAGAGGAAACACAGATAGTTGTCATGCTTTCTTTGTTGAAAAACTCCAAAGGCTTTTCATCAGGTCAGATTTAGAAATGACATCCTGAACACAACAGTGCAAAGCTGTGAAGCAGAGATTAAGACTTCAAAACCCAGTCGAGAAACAGGAATTAATATGACCAATGTACACAACAGAAAACTCTGAACCTTATGTTTTCTATTTGTATAAACAATTATACTATATCTACAATATCTATTTGTACCTTTTGTATAAACAAAAGACTTTCAACATCAAACTCTTTATTCACAGAATTTAACCTGTTTCACAACCTGATTGCAGCAAGCCTTTTAACTAAAATTAGAGGAAAAGATGAGTGATCTATAAGGAATAAATGACTAAATACTCATTTCAAATCTATATATATCTATTACAGGCATTTCCAGGCAGAGAAAATATATTTCATTATTTATTTAAGTAATGAACAAGTCTCAGAAGACCAAAGAAACAACTGACATACAGAAACAAAATTGAACATGCCCTAAAATCACATAAAAGAGAACTCTGCTGGGTCAATAATGATTTCTGGTTGTTTGTGAGCAAATAAAAGATGTGGGTGTCTGACCTTGGCACACATTACCAGCTTCAAACTGGGTCAGTCACCTCTACTTGTGAAGAGGAGTCTTTTCATCAGCTGTGCACGAGTTGAATGCCTCAGATGATCGCATCTACAGAGTTGCATGTGCGGAAAGGTAAATGTTTGCATAGGTTTGCAGTGGAGGGGAGAAGATGGTTCATTTTCATGGCACCTGTGACCTGCCACTGGTTTAGTCACAAACAACTGCCTGAGTGAATAAGGAGGCAGAGAGGAAGCTGTTCTGTGGCAGATTCTGTGGCAG